GTTGGAGGTATAAAAGACTCCATAACAATCTCAGTGAGACGGAATAAGGTTACACAACTTTAAAAAGCAAAATTTCAGGTTTTTAATGAGGCCATTCTAATGAATGGTATGCTAAATTTGTACCCATCAGATGTGTATTCATGTTGATATTTCAACTCTAAAATTTAAGTAATTTTACCAAACTTTGACTCTTTTTTTTTTTTTCTTTCTAAAAATACGTTAGAAAGGAAAAAATGGTAATTGCAAATGGTATGTTCCTTCCATGATTGTGTTGCAGCACAATGTTTTTTCAAATATTTTTCCTAAAATATTTGAAAATGCGTGCTTAAAAACTAAGAATATGCTGCTTTTTTTTTATTGAAAGGCTTTTCACCAGGCATACATTTGGTGATTTGGGGAAAACGGCTTATTTCTAGCGTTATCTGTCTGCAGCAGCCATTCCCAGATCAACTTTCCTTTATAGTTCAGCTTGCCTTTAATGATTCCTGCTTATGAAGGCTCCCTGTTTATGCAACTGCCTCGCAGACAATGACACACCACTTCTGCACCTGTACTGCAGTGTGGTGGTTCTAGATTTCAGTGGAACTGAACCTGATTGAACTTGTAAATTGGGATTTCTTGGTTGGAAAAGTAAACAACTAAAAGCAATATTAACTACATTATTGACCACTAGACTGTTTTAGATAAACTGGAATGGTCATCTGCTACACAGTGCCCAGTTAATTAAACTAGAACTGCTGTATTTTATGAAACATGTGTCTGTGTTTCTAAAAATAAATATTGAAAACACTACAATTTTTTTCAGTAAATATATTTATTTACATTTCACCAGATGTAGGTAACAATTTATGCAATCTAGACATACAAAGAAATAACACCATAGTGTATAATCATAGTGTATCAATGTGGAGTGGCACTTGGAATTATATCACACATGAGTATAAGGGAGGTGTAAAAAGGCATGAAAAGCCAAGACACCAGCCAAATTCTCTCAATAATTAGAAGCAATCCTGCCCCTTGTCAGCGTAAATTACTGTCAGCTGTTTCAGTCCCAAATGATGGCCAATAAAAAAATGTCACAAAAATCACATGACTTGAATCTAATAGAACATTTATGAAAAGAACTAAAGATCAGAATTCATAGAAGAGGCCCACGAAAACTTCAAGATTTGAATGTAGTTTGTGGAAGAATGGGCCAAAATCCCACCTGAGCAATGCATACGAGTAATTTCTCCACACAGAAGGTATCTTGAGCTGTCATTGCCAAAGGCTTTTGTACAAAGTATTAAATACATTTCTGTAAATGTGTTCAATACTTTTTCCCTGTGGCATTCCACATTATTAGACATAACTTAATTTCTGGACATCTAAAGTTTGACTTCTAGGTAAGTGTGGATTGCATGGATGACATCTGGTGAAAATAGTCAATGGTCAATAGCACCTCTAGAAATATATTTACTGAGAAAATGGGGGCATGTTTAATAGTTATTTCACCTGCTGTAAATGCATCTGGGTAACAAAATCTTATAATGGAGGGTGCTTTGGTCTGCCATTCATTTTCATTGAAAACTGTCACATTTTGTAATGTTACTACCAAAAACCTTTACATTTTTCTATTTGTTAGATCAACTCAAACAATAGAGAAACTGAGAGGGGAATCTTACATGTTCTCTTTTCTTTTTGACAATGAAATCTCTAAAGTAAGTTTGTATTCGGTGCACTTTGTCATATTTAGAACATGTGACTCTGAATAGGCGCAAAAACTGAGACAGTTGGATTATGAGAAAAAGTTTATTGAAAAAAAATGGAAATGGACAAGATTGGATTTCGGCTGGTCGGTGGTCTGGTGAGCTCTGCTGGAAAAGATAGGGAGGATGGTGAATAAACTTAGCTTCGGGATTTGTGAGAATTTGGTTTGGATGGTGAACTCACAGAGGTGGCGGCTAGGGCTTGGTCTGGAGGAAGAAGTGCTGTTCAGTGATCCTGGTTGTTGGTGCAGGTCCAGATTCTCTCTCAGTGTTGGTTTGTTGGAGGGTGGACAGGCAGGCGAGTGCTGCTTGGTATCTTTGGTAGAGGTAGCATGTTTTGCATGTTTATGCAAAGTTTCTAAGTTGGGACTGAGTTGGAGACAGTACAAGTTCAAGCCTCTAATGTAGTTAAAATGCTTTAAGTAACTACACTAACTAAATTAATGTTCAAAACCTACTGTCGACTTTTATTAAGATTTACAGAAACAAGTATTTACAGGTGTACTGATCTGATTGTGTCTGTTTTCCCTGGAAAAATGGCAGCAGGAAGCTCTTATTCTCTGAATGGAAGTGATAAGCGTCATCATCTGGAAACAGTGATTATATCTGTGAAATGAGGAGGACATGCTATAAACAGCCAAATGATATAATTACCAGCTATTATTTATGAAGAGCTTCCAGGCATATGAAGATAATCACTGAAGCGCACTGCCAAACCTTTTCTCATGCAGGTCGAGTGCTCTTGTCAGGGAAAAATGAAACTATTGGGTTTGTGACAGGTAATATTGTCCCAGATGGACTTAGGAAAATATTTCTAAAACCCTGAAACATTGAGCATCAGAGGGGAGAGTTTGGGCCTTTTTTATGGTCTTTGGACCCATCCCCAGGTCAGCCCACAAAGCAGCAGCTTACAGCATGTTAACTATGCAATCTCCATTAGGTCTGACAAAGGCGCATTAAATCAAAAACGATTCATTATTGATTTAAAAGGAGCACAGCAAATTAGAGGTTACAATAAGGACTAAGGCTTTACACATAAACAGCCTATTATAGGATTTTTGCAAAAGGATCACCTATGGATAACTGTTAGGAAAGATACTAATAAACTGCTCAGAGTGCATTTGTTTTAAAGGTTACCGACTAAAACTCCCATAACTCTTGACACAGCTTCAGAGTGGACCAATTATAGGTAAATCACTTCAAAATAAATTGGAATTTTCTTCATGGAACAGGGGCATTTGTACCTACCTAAATAAATACAAGTGTTGTAAAATACAAGTGTTGTATGTGTGAAATATTTTGGGAAAATAAAGCAATTCCCCCACCGAATCACCTTTTTTGATCTCGACATAAAGACATAGAGTGTGAAGCATGACCTTCTTTTGCACTTTTTTTAAAAACAGATATTGTGCAGCTGTTTATTAAAATGTAAACATGTTAAACGAATTTGCTTATTTAAATTCAAATTGATACTGAAAAAATACTTTTTGTGGTTTAACATCTACAACTGTTGTATCTATGTGCTCTGGAAGAAGCCTGATGCATATATTTTTATCTTCTTAGATTGAAATGGAAAAAAATTGCCAGTAGTTTACTTTTACACTAAATCAAGAGCCAGCTGCCTTGTTTGTACAGATTTATTGTGTGCCACAAAATAGTCTCACGGTGTTCTAACTACAACGGAGGCTGTAATACATTTTAATTCTAACCTGATTAATTTATTCCCAAGCATATAGCAATCCTGCATCTACCTCCTTCTGCCGCATACTATTAACACTGGCTTTTATCTTTTATGTTGTTATGCTTAGATTCGTTTTTTCTGTTATTTTTATTTATTTATTTTTTTTTAGCAGAAACAGATCTAAGTTCTGCAGTCCATCTCAGAGCTAATCCAAAGAGAAATGGCAGCCTGCCCTCACACCTGTGACCCAGTTTGAATCTCCACTGGGTTAATGTCATGATGCAAGTTCAGCTGCAGTGTCTGTGTGGATTTAATTGACAGTTCTGTAAAATAAAAAAGGTTTTGTGACTTTAATTTTTCATGTGTATTATTATATCTTATTCTAAAGCATGAAACAGGGAAAACTGATCTTTACAAAGTGTGCCACAGCTCCCTGAATGTCTGTGACATTTTAGAGCTAAACTCTAAAACTAAAGATTGAAAACTTTATTAAAGAGATTAAATAACCAACCTTAAATTTTGTTTTAAAATTTGAGTTAGACTTATAACTAAACTAGTAGTTTCTAGTACAATACTGCACCAACTATTCTACTCTACCAGAGAACCAGCAATACAGTGACCCAATTCAAGTGTTTTACAATTACAGAATCACCACCATAACACGACATGAGAGAAAAGTCAACTTTTTGTAATTACATGTCTCAACAAAAAAAAATGCATTTTTTGCCTGATGTGGTAAATGCCAGATTCAACATTAAAAGTGTTATCTTTTATTTATACAACGTCACATACTAAATGTTTTAAAAGTAACCGGCCCTGCTTTATATAATCCGTATTTGATTTGTTTTTTGCATTTAAATTCCATTTTAATTTTTGTATTTATTTGTCCTTGGGACTCGTGTCATGATCTTTGTCATTACATTAGTGCTTCCTGTATAACATTTATTTACCTGCTGATAGCTAAGTCTAGATTTAGCAAGAGCAAAAGATTTTGAAAGAAATAATCTAAATTTGAACAGAGGTTACTTAAGGACCATTATCCCCTGAAGTACAAATAACACAGAAACAGAATAATAACTCAAAAGCAACCCAAAGAATTTAAGAATATTAAATATAAAAGATGTTTAGGAACTCAGGTAAAATAAAATGCTTCAGCTGCTCTCAGAGCACACAGTCACAGGTGTTTGTTCTTCTATCAGGTTGTTTCTTTCCCTCATGCATTAGACAGGATATAGCAGACAGTGTTGATTAGCCTGGTTTCTCACAGTAACACTGATTAATTTCCTCTTCAAACACTTTATTTTGCTTTTTTGTACCATTTGATAATTTTTTTCCTGCTGTGGATTACCCTTTTTACTTCATTATTCATTATTGTAACAAAGAAGCAGCAGCCATTCTTTCTAATCTTATCAGATTTAATAGGCATGCTTAATGTCAGCTTTTAGACCAAATTTAAAATGTTTCTTTCACATTTTTGTTTAAGGTGGAAATTTCTTAGATTCACATAGTTAATTTTTTTGTAATCAGTTTTTTGTTTTTATTTTGTTTTTTCCTGCTGTTCTATTCACCAGGCATGGCTGACTGAGATCCATGAATACGCCCAACAGGATGCGGTGCTCATGCTGCTTGGAAACAAGGTAGTGATCAAAGATATGATACAACTTGTTGATACAAGTTATTTCCATCCATCCATGTTCTCCCGCTTATTCCGTCAGGGTTGCGGTGATGCCGTAGCCTATCTGCAGCAGTCAGTGTGGGGATGGGCGGGGTACACCCTGGACAGGTCATCAGTCTGCCGCAGGGCAACACAGAGACACACAAAGACATGCAATTATGTACACTCACACCTAAGGACAGTTTGAGAAGCCAAGTAACCTAACAGTCATGTTTTTTAACTGTGGGAGGAAGCCGGACAGAATCCAAGCATGCACAGGTAGAACATGCAAACTCCATGCAGAAAGACCTCAGGCCAGGAATCGAACCCAGAACCTTATTGCTGCAAAGCAAAAGGCAGCCCCAGGTTATTTCCTTGGTGTGCTAAATGTATTCACAATAGTTTTTTAAGCTCATATTTTATGTTTCTGCAGATTTTAATGTAATTAAATCTGTTGGAGTTGCTTTAATTAAAATTATATTTATTTTGTGTTTCGTTGCAGCCACAAATTGTGCGCTCTTAAAATTATTGGTAATCCAAGTTTCTGAAGGTCTTAACAACAGCATTCTCTTACCTAACCACACCGATTATTTTTGAAATATCCTTATTTGCTTTTTATAGAAATTGATGTAAAATTATAGTTTTCACCAAGGATGATCCATAGGAGCCTTTAGAAGAAAAGTCTGCTTTAACAAGCTCATCGAGTGATTAAAATTTTGCACAAAGAAATTCCTTAACCTGCAAAGCTTTCTTCAGCACATGAGCTGCAGAGTAAAATAACAAAATGTACAAATGGACTGTTTAGTCGCGCATCCATCAAGTGCCAAATCTGAGTTATTGCTACTTAAAGCACATGTTGGCGGTGAAAGATTAGTTTTGATCATAACACGTTATTCTTCAGTATTTTTCCTTTCTGTAGTTAGAAATGGGGGGGGAAAAAACTCTCTTCTTTAAGTTGTATTTCATGTAGACCCAGACAGACATTCTTCTGTATTTTTTCAGTGTCATGTAGGTTAGTTTAACAAAAAAAAAAAATAGGCATTCAATAAAAATGGTAAAGGTCCTTGACTTAGATTATATAAATATTGGCCCTGATGATACAAGGACATTTTAAAGGCACTTAAGAAATCAGTGAAAACAACTTTCCAATACTGCCAAATATTCCTTTACAATTTGGAAAAATTATTTTAGCTTTTACAATCACTGCAGTCTTTGTTGATCATTATTTTGTATGGAAATTGTGTATAGAACCTTTGGGGTAAATCAGATGTTGTGTTTTATGCTTTTGAATGAAGTTTGTAAATGTAAAAATGCTTTTTTAGGCTGATGCAACTCATAACCGTGTGGTAAAAAGAGAAGATGGTGAGAAGCTTGCCAAGGTAAAGACTTGTGAAAATTTGTTTGATTATGTTTATTACAAAATGCAAATTTACACAAACGCAGAAAAATGAAGACCAAATTTAAGGTCAGTGATAAACATTAAATGATTTCATTCTACAGGAGTTTGGGGTTCCTTTTATGGAAACCAGTTCCAGGTCAGGCCTGAATGTAGAGCTGGCTTTCACTGCTGTGGCCAAGTAAGTATAGGTCTATCTGTTGCTATTGGAGACAAGTTCTTTGACTTGTTTCAGATGAAAGTTATTTCATATACATTTCACAAGACTAAGACAGCTCTGCTACAAGACGCTGATGCTTTATATTACAGTAAAAAAAAAAATATCAACATATCAGGTGTTTTTTTTTCCTAGAAAAGGATTATGGATCTAGACATGATGCTTCATTATATTGTAAACAAAATGTTTGAATATTTCTTGAATGCATGTTTCATTGTTTTATTACACTCCAAATACTTCAGTTAGTGTAATTTACAAGGTTATAAATCAAATACCAAATACAGAGTTTTGCCCAAGTCCCTCAGTCCTGGAAATGCATTGCAGTGGCACTATGCTGTAGGATTGCTCTCTTTAGCAGTGCTGTGAACATAGACACAGCTAAATATATGGCACTTCTAGTAGAGAACCTGTAACATGAGACTACATCTATCTTAGTTCAAGCAAGATATCAGCCTAATCATACAGCAAGAGCTATAGTTGTATGGTTTGAAACCATAGATGTTACTGTTTCACAAAGTCCAGACCTAAATTCAATTTGCAATCTATGGCAAAGATTAAGAATCCAAGAGACTCTCAGTCCGATCCAATGGAACAAAGGCTATTTTAGAAAGGATTGGGTAAATTTTGTTGTCTTTAAATTTGGAACACTAGTGGAGAAAAGACATATCCCATAGGATATGCAGCTGTCAGGTTTTTCTTATTTAGAATAAGAAATGCCAAGTATTAGCTACTGCTGTGCACTGAAGCATGAACTAACTGTGTACCTTTTCATTTTTGTTGTTTTACCACAGGGAGCTGAAATACAGGTCAATGAAGGATCCGAGTGAAAAGTTTAAGCTGCATGAGTATGTGAGCAAGGAGATGAAAGGTGCTGGCTGCTGTGGGACCTAAGTGGTTGAGAGTTTGGGTTCATGTCCTAATTAAATATCATTTTAATCTTGGAAATCATCTCTGGACTTATCAAGAACCACAAGTCATCTCTTCCTGGCCTTTTGTTCTGCTGGTTTTAATCTACCATGATGCTTTTCTTCACCTGCCTTTTTCTTTAACTGTAAACGGAGACCAAGGTTAGGATTGAAAAATAAAAAGAGAACAGCTCAATTAGATGCAATTCTGCTTATAATAATTTTTGCCTCTCAATGCAGTGTCACAGTCTTATGACCATTAACATAATATGTGTGGGTTATTATTTAATTATTTTAATTTTATCATAAGATTCTTCTTTATTTTGAGAAGATAATTTCGTAAGGCAGTTATGTCTAACATCTACCCATTACATCCATTTTGGCTTTCCTTTTTGTTAAAATGTTGCATATTAACCCTTGAAACTAGATGTTGTGATGCTTTTTCTGTCCATGTTTCAGTGAGGTAGAAATGAATCAGCTGGTTCCAAGGAGTTTGTCGACTTGCCAGCACTAATTCATAATATTTTGAAGATATATGGGTACATAGTTGGGAAAATACATCCTCTCATCACACCACTGGAGCAAACTGTTGTTGCTATTTTTTGGTACAAAACTTATGAAAAGTGTTAAAAAGAATCTTAAGTGTACAGATATCTGTAACTTATATTTGTCATCAAATGCTGTACCTTTTTTCTTAATCTTAATCCTAACTGGGGTAGCACTGTGGTTGAAAGTTAGACCTGTTCAATTTTAGCTGGGGTCTTTTATTTTGTTCTATTTTCATGTTCTCCTTATGCATGCATGGGCTCCTCCCAGAGTCCAAAATCCTGCATGCTAAGTTATTTGTAGATTTGAATCCTCTAAAAGTGTAAATAAGTGTGTGAGTGGATATTTGTCTCACTTTTCATAAATGTTGGCTCTGATGGAATGGGAGACTTCTCTAGAGATCAGCCAACCTCCAACATGCTGAACAACTGTGATAGGCACCAGCATCTTAGTGATCATAAAGTTGAGCAGAAATAGAAAAAGTATGGATGTAAAATCATTTGTTTAAATGCACTATAGCCCTGATCTACTATCCCAAATAAAAATCACTAATTGCTTGTGCAAACTAAAGTTTCACATGCAATTAGTGGGCATGTTGCAGGGGATTGATGTGGAGAAGACACAGTCAGAGAAAGGAGAGGACGTCCTCTGCTAGTTAAAATAAAAAGAAATAATAATAATTAGATGAAATGGAGGCACAAACACAGGGTAGCTTTTGGACCACAACTGTCACAATTTCACATAAAAAATCATAAGTTTAAATATCAGAGATTCTAATTCTATTATTTGAAAGGAGAAGGAAACTACAGGTGGTTCAACAGCATTCAAATACAAAAGACAAACTTTTATGGTCTATTTTGTTTTTTAAATGCTATTCACTCCCACTGCATAACTTAAGTCACAAAAAAGAGAAAAACAAGCAACTCTAGATTGTGCTTTTTCTACAACATAGATATAACAGACGTCCTTAGACTGTGACATACAAACAAAAGCTATTTATTTCATAATATGATATATTTAAACATTTTATAACTGATTGAAAAAGAGAGTTTAACTCCTAAAAATTATCATTTACATATTAATCACTGCAGTTCATTAACTGAATCATTCCAGTTATCAAAAGAGAATTTATCTAAGCTACATTTCCACTTGACCTGATGATTGTACTGACAGGTGCAAGGCAATGCGTCCTCCCAGCGGCCCCTCACCTCTAAAATGAATCACTTGCCACCGGTGTTGGACAGCAGAGTGATGCATTTAGACACAAAAAAATGCAATGGTGCAAGGTGCTTTTCTCCCCAAAATAGCATCTCAAAATGTTTGAGTGTCCAAATATGTAGAAATGAAATATTCTCTCTTCTGGCTGTGATTACACCAATGCCTTCTTCTCCCCACAATCATTGCAGGCATTTTTATGGTTGCTTCTTGCTTTCAAATGTGCTCAATAAAGATGTCCTGCAGTACTGTACCACACTTTTCAATAATTAGCATATTTTCTGGAATTTCATGAAGGTAAACATGTTTCATAGAATGTGCCTACCATTTCGTGGATATCAAAGGCGTATGTAGATCAGTTTAGCTCATGTTATTGAGCTTCCCCTTCTTTTATAAATGCAAACCTTTAGTAGATCAGGGTCTATATGTATTGCTATTAAATGTGCCAAATATGTTGTAAATACTAATTTCTTTGCATTAAAGTACCTAAAACTACGTAAAATGGTGTTACCTTTCATATTGTATTAGAAATTGTTTTTTTGTTGATAAAAGCCATTAACGGTATATTGAACAATTTTTTCAGAAATGTAGGTTAGAGGCAATTTTTGCATAGCCTTGCATGTGCTAGACCATCCAACCTACTATTCTGCCATTTGGCAAAAGACTCTCTCAAATACACTCTGGCCTTACTGTATTTCTTTCTTCTGATGCCTTCCACTTCTCATAAAATTGTATAACAGTTTGCTTCTTGTAATCCTCTGCCATTTTTAAAATATACAGTGAGAGGAGTGGAGCTATGGGTGAAAAAGATGCTATATGCATACATGATCAATAAAAGTGCTCATTGACAGAAAAAGGAAATGTGCATGTCACAAAGACAACCAATAGATACGATTATCCACCTAAAATGGCTGAAAAAAGAACATTCACCTTACTTTTAAAAAAACCTATGTCTGTTTACCTGTTGGGCGACTGTTTGTGTATGATTTTGTCAGCAGTTCTCTCCCATATACTCCCAAAAGCACTCGGTGGAAGGAAGGGAGACTTCTTGAGCTGAGAGCAGCTGATACACTTCTTTTTAAATAATTCAGTGAGTTTTGGCACTTAAAACTGAAATGTGTTACAAAATAAATCATTAACAAATCATATCAAAACAAACAAGTCACAAAAGTGTTTCATATAAAAAAACTCATCAGACAGTAAGAGCTGTGGGTTTACCTAGCACTTTTGCTTCATGTGTTAAGTCAGGCTTTTATTACAGAAAAACAATATAATACACTTTAGATAACATGTTAATGTGAATTTTGTTTTAACCCCAGTAGCAGTGTTTACAGACAGTTTCTCAAGAGTGCAGAAAATAACTGATCCTATACAGAAAAAATAAACGACTACAGCAACAAAAATTGCATTGGTGAGCAGGAATCACACTGGTTCAGTTTGTATGTTAAAGGTTTTCAGGCATATACATGTCATTGTTGTTCTTAAGGAATATGATCAGTACTGGTTACCAAAAATTCAGGGTAAGAGACAAATATCGGTATTATTTGTAAAATTTGACGTCTGTTAAAAGTTGTAGACTGCTTCAATGACTGTTGCTTTTTTTCCCCATGCTATTATATAAATTCATATGTAAGATGGATAGTGCCATGTTTTCTTAGGATTGTTTGGACATGTATGTTTCTATCTGTCAACAAAATAAAATTAATTATTTGGGAAAAGCACAAAGGATTATTTTTGATTAAATATTTGCATTTATAGACTCAGTTTTGATCACAGAAACCATTAAACTGAAAACCTCACTCTCCTTCATGTTGATGTTGTCTTTGTTCATAATCGGTCTTAGACTAGAATCATTGCTGTAGAAAACAGTGCAGATATTAAATTGGCTTCAACACATTTTAACAGCAACCATAGATTATCATAGGGTGATTTCATATGCAGCCCTGCAGGCACCAGTTAGGGGAAATCAATGAGCCCCTTGAGATGTTAGAGAAGGTTCAACAGTAAATTTTACATTTTTCATTTGTCTCCCTCTACTGGAAGAACATGCAATAACTTGTCATCCATTAAAAAAAAAAAGCAATTGCTATGAAAACATGGATTTAGCTACAAATACAGTTAAGAAGATAAATAAATACAATTGCACTTATGTATACAGTAATGCAAAATAGCATGCAAATGTGACGGAACCTACACTTGCTAGACTTACATTATTATTTTGGTGTTATAATCTGTTAAATGGATCAAATATAATTAATTTGTAGTAAAGATCAGTAATTGCAGTGTTGATGATTATAGAATAGAACAGATGTTGCCTCACATCCATGAAGCAACGGTTTTGTCCTGTTTCTATTGTGAAGGTGGAATCAGGCAGCAAATGGGCGTGTGATATTAGAAGAGTCCAGGAGCCTTGGATTGACAGACTTTTTCAGAGAATGAGGTCTTGCTATGTTATTGGGGTCAAGGAAGGTGGCAAGGTGGTTGATGAAGAGGAGGAGTTGTCGTTGACGAAGCACTTTGACCTTTGTATCAAACATCAGTTTCTGTATAAACCTCTTTGAGACACACTTAGAGGCTCAATCACGGTTTGCGTTTAAAATAGGCCTCCACTGCAGGAAAAACAAAGCAAAACAGAAATAACACAATAAGACTCACTCTATGAGATGACAGACAGACAGACAGACAGACAGACAGACAGACAGACAGACAGACAGACAGACAGACAGACAGACAGACAGAC